AAAAACAGACACGTAGGTAAATATAACAGAACACAGAGCCCAGAAATAAACTCAAGCATACACGGTCAATCATTTACAACAAAGAAGATAAGAATATACAATGGGGAAAGGACAGCCTCCTCAATAAATGGTGTTGGAAAAACTGGACAGCCCAATGGAAAAAAAAAAAAAAAGAATCCAGACTATTATTTTATAGCATACACAAAAATGTACTCCAAATGGATTAAAGATTTAAAAGTAAGATGACAAACAAAAAACTCTTAGAAGACAACACAGGAAATAAGTTCCTTGACATCAGTCTTGGCGATGATTTTTTGGGTCTGACTCCAAAAGCAAAGGCAACAAAAGCAAAAATCAACAAATGGAACTATATCAAAGTAAAAAGCTGCTGCACAGCAAAGGAACCCACCAACAAAATAAAAAGGCAACCTTCTGAATGGGAGAATATATTTGTAAAACATATTATATATACAATAAGGGGTATTACCCACAATATATAAAGGCCTCATACAACTCAATAGCAAAATTACAAATAATTCAACTAAAAAATGGGCAGAAGATATGAATAAACATTTTCCAAAGAGTCATACAAATGGCCAAGGGGCACATGAAAAGATACTCCACATCACTCATCTTCAGGGAAATGCAAATCAAAATCACAATGAGATAGCTCACCTTAGACCACACTTGTCAGAATGGCTACCAACAAAAAGACAAGAAATAAGTGTTGGTGAGATCGTGAAGAAAAGGGAACCCTTGTGCACTGTTGGTGGGAATGTAAATTGCTGCAGCAACTATGGAAAACAGTGGGGAGGTTCCTCAAAAAACTGAAAATAGAATTACCATATGATTCAGTAATTCCACTTCTAGGTATTTATCTAAAGAGAATGAAAACCCTAACTCAAAAGATATATGAACACCCAAGTTCATTGCAACATTATTTAAAGTAGCCAAGATATGGAAACAACCTAAGCTGCCATCAGTGAATGAATGGATAAAGAAGATATGGTATGCATATACAATGGAATATTATTCGCCCACAAAAAAGAATGAAATCTTGCTATTTGCAATAACATGGATGGTCCTCAAGGGCATTATGCTAAGTGAAATAAGTCAGACAAAGACAAAAACTGTATGATCTAATTTATATATGGCATCTTAAAAAAAAAAAGTCCAAGCCTTAGATACAGAGCACAGATTGGTGTTTCCAGAGGCAGTGGGTGGGGGGTGGGCAAAATTGGTGAAGGGGTCAAAAGATATAAACTTCTGGGTATAAAATAAATACGTTATGGGGATATAATATATAGCATGGTGACTACAATTAATAATACTGTGTTTGAAAGTTGCTAAGAAAGCAAATCTTAAAGTTTTCATCACAAGAAAAATAATTTTTGGAACTTTCTGCAATGACATATGGTAACAACCTGTTGCAGTAACCATTCTGCAGTGCATACAAATATCACATCGTTATGTTGTACACCTAAAACTAATACAGTGTTATATGTCAATTATATCTCAATAAAAATGTAAACAAAAGAAAAGAATCTATCTCATTTTTAAATAGAAACAATATTTAATACATTTAAAGAAGTCATCAGATTTCATATCTATTCAAATATAGACAATATTTCCATCTTTCTGAAGCTCAGCACCTTTTCTTAAAATTACACGCAACTGATATCTTCTGTCAAATTATAGAGTATTTATTCCTGATTTTGTAAAAGATTACATGCTAAAATTTCTTCTTGATAAAGCAGAATCTTTTCAACAATGATTTCCCTTGTATATTAGCAAGCAAAACAAGTTTTGTCTATTTATATACATAGCCTAGCCTTTCCTTATGATCCTTATTGATCTTAAAGATTTTCTGGAAAAAAAATATACAATAATGTTATGAAATGTGAATTTCTCAAACAATTGGAATTTTTTTCAAGAAAAATTCAACTCAAACAAAAATAATTTGCATGAACTTTTTATTCATTTGAAAAGGTATATGGCATAAAATAAGAATTATAAAAATTATGAAATGCAGTATCTAATAGGAGTCACAGTTCTTTTTTGTTGTTGTTGTTGCGGTACGTGGGCCTCTTACTGTTGTGGCCTCGCCTGTTGCAGAGCACAGGCTCTGGACGCGCAGGCTCAATGGCCATGGCTCACGGGCCCAGCCGCTCTGTGGCAGGTGGGATCTTCCCAGCCCGGAGCATGAACCCATGTTTCCTGCATTGGCAAGCAGACTCTCAACCACTGCGCCACCAGGGAAGCCTGAGTCACAGTTCTTTTAACATGCAAGATTTATCTAGCACAAATGTAACTAATTAATAACACCTGCAGTACATTCTCCCATAGTAGTGATGACCATCTGGTTGACCTAGCACTAGATGAACAGGGAAGGCAAATCTGTAAATCATTGTTTCCCAAATGTTATCACCACCACAAAAAGGGATGGAATTTGGATGGGAGAAGAGATCTCTTATTTCACACACCTTTAAATTGACTGTGATTCTTTAATTGGACAGTAAGACAAGACTGAGAGCATTCTTCTAATGTGTCACTCAGAAATTTTTAAATATGAAATAAATGAAAGTTTATATCTGTATATATTTAAATTAACATATATTCATATATATGTCAACCCTGTACAAAGTTCTATATTTTGATGTTAAGACTAAACCATTTTGGAAGAAATTTAGTAACCTATTCAGTGCGATACTCAGATAAGTCATAATAAGATCAAAGAGACACTGTAAGTGATAAGAAATTTGGAACAGGATCTCAAGCAGGTTCACTGTCAAATCTCTTAAGAAAATTACTATGAATTAATGATTAAAATATATACATTTTAACAATTGGTTTTCCTCAAGATACTTTTCCAATGATACTTTGTCTATTATACAGTTCATTTTTGGAGTATTTTTGGTATTAATTTAGAAACCATGGCATTTCGTTATGCTTGTTGATATATCTCTTTAAAACAGTATTCAAATTAAGTGAATTCTATCTCTCTAATTATTTCCTAGTAAGACTCTTGGGAAGAATAAAATAGGCATTATAAGACTTTCAGATCATTAGCTTATCTAATCATGCTGTATTCTGCATATGTTATAAATTAAAGTATTATTCTATAAGAATCTGTTTTGAGATTAAGAGCATTTAAAATTTTAGATATGCAGAATTTTAAAAAGCCCATCATAATTTCTAGTCACTTTGTAAATAGCAGTCACTGTCCTACATGGTATTGAAGTTTGGTTTTAAAAGACTGTATTACTTAATTTGCTCTGCAAAAGGTAAATTGTAATTGCCTTTTCAAACACAGACCTAATGAATTATCTCTACTGACACACTTGTTTTTAATATTTACATATTTTGGTTTAAGTTTCAGTTAAAAGAAGTTCGATTAGTTTCGATGTAATAGAGAGAGCAAGTTTAGATACCTCATCTATGAGACCACTCCATCTTCCTATATGTTGAGAGAAATACAGAAAACTGGGGAGAAATTGTACTCTTCATTAATGCTTTTCTTTTTTATTTGATTAGGTAATTCATAGTTCTCAACTTGGGAGAAGAGGTGTTGGCAGACTGCAAGATTTGTTAGTAATTAAAAAAAAAAAAAGATACTTCAAAGGTCTGTTTTTCCTTTCTTCCCAACTTAACTGGATAGCCATGGGTTTTTGAGGGGAATGCCTAACTCAGAAGCTAAGGAAACAAGTAGAAGCTCACACACTCTAAGTTCTAAATAAGGCCCCTTCAGTGCTTATGATGACCTTGGGGAAAGCACTTGGTGATTTAAGAAAGAAAGAGAAAAAGCCATTTGAGTGATAAGTGTCAGTCATACTGCTGTTTGACATTCAAGATAGAGTTTCAAAGACATCCTGCTACATAAGGCTTGAGAGTATACTATTTCTCAAATGAATGAAAATATGCCCAGTGACACTGAGGTTTATGCAGAGACAGAGCTCAAGGAAGTAATAAAAATATAAATGACCTGACTGGCAGGATGATCTTCCTGCCTGATCCATTTCTTTCTTTATGTTTTTTTTTTTTTTTGCAGTACGCGGGCCTCTCACTGTTGTGGCCTCTCCCGTTGCGGAGCACAGGCTCCGGACGTGCAAGCTCAGCGGCCATGGCTCACGTGCCCAGCCACTCCATGGCATGTGGGATCTTCCTGGACCAGGGCACGAACCCATGTCCCCTGCATCGGCAGGCGGACTCGCAACCACTGCTCCACCAGGGATGCCCTCTGATCCATTTCTTATTCCATCTGTCCAATTAGTATGCGTTACGTGACTGACCAAAATCATCCATCTGCAAGTCATTTGAACTATATACATTAAAGCTCATGTGCACATTTGGCAAACCATACCCTCAGAGGACCTTAAGCCTTTCATGTTTGAAAATTTGAAATCACACTCGTTTCCCTAAGCTTCTGAAGAGAACATCTGCATACAACAGCAATCAAAATATTGCAATATTTCCGACTATTCTTTTAGGTCCTCTTCAATTAATTAGGAGACTTTGCCAACCTCAGGAACTCCTCATGGAAATAGAAGAAACACCAGTAGAACAATGTATGGAGAGACCAGTTTTGAGGCTAAGGCCCAAAATGTATTATAAAAAATTTTAATAATTAAACCTGCATAGCTCTTTCTGCTGATGAGGATTAGCAGTTAAGGGGTGTTCCTCAACAAAGCCAAGTGACTACTAAGATCAAATACCTTAGGCTTTGAGTTCTTCACCATCTCCTCATACGTGTGCATGCAAACACAGAAGAAACTTCAGAAAGGGCAGAATATACTTCAAGCATTTTCATAAAGAAATGCAAGAGAGGCTTTTGTCTCTTAACCAATAATTTAAAATAGCTGTCATCCAAAAAGCTGTCCACTAGTATTTTTAAAGCTAATCAATACTCAATAATATTTTACTGTCTTTAGTAATTTTTGAATCTGGATAAGAAAAAAGACTTCAAATAACATTGTCCTCAGAGTGTCTATCAACTTTCTTACCATCAAATGTTAAGTAAACTCTTGCTTGGGGCTGAGATGATCCTTTTACACAGGTAGAACAAACAAATACTCCAACCAAGACCCAAATTGCCTGGAATGCCATTTCTTCAGATTTGCAAGTTAATATCCAAGGGCAAATACCTTTAAAATAAAGATAACAAGTTTGTTATATTTCACTTCACATTTTAGGAGCACACCCCCCCCCTCCCACCACACACACAAAACCAGCAATCTAGACAGAGCACTCTATTCACAAAAGACACAGCTGAACTTTTACAGTCATGCCAACAGTAGGAGGTACTGTGACTGTTTCTTAGATGTGAAAATTTGGATTTGATTTCATTTGTGTCTGGAAGTCTTTGTTAAAAGTGAAATTATTTCATCTTCCAGCAAAATAATGCTAATATTAAACAAGGCAGCCAGGAAAAAGTTACTGATTCCCAAAGGAAAAACCAATATTTAAACTTGTTCTTCGCTTTAAAAAACACATTACATTGAAAAGACTTGAGAATGGTGCAAATAGGTATTAGTGGATGAAAATTTCTCTTTCTACCATAAATATAGTAGCAGTAGGAAAATCCCACATGAACATTCACTTCCACACACTCATTAGCTCTTTTGGAGTAACCATCTCTGAAATGATATTTCTACACAGAGATCTACTAGTGCTCAATCCTTGATCACTGGAATTAGTTATCTGCCAGTTTATACAGATGACCATACAGCTGTTAAATGATGTAGATGAGGTAACCATGGATTTGTGCCAAATTCAAACCAATGACTTAGTGGTGAGCAATCCAGTGAACCATACATTCCTCAATGCATATTTAAAATAAATCGACTAGAAAGTGGGCTGTCAAAATGTCAAAAGATAAATCAGAGAGACAGGTATTACTGTTTGAAACTATAGCTATAAAATTGACACATGCTATTAACGAATGTCTGAATAACAAAGATCAGGTAATGTGTAACTTCATATCTACAGGAGCTCTAGTGGCCACAATATGCAAAATAAACTCAGGACCATAAAAGAAACCCCATCATTTTGAACCTACCACAATTATACAATAAGATGACATGACAGAGTTTAATCTAGAAATTTATTTTTACAGGTTACAACGATACTGATCTTCAATATTATGTGGCTTTTAAAATTAAAATTTTACCACTAATTTTATTCAATAAAGAAATGACACTAAAATTTGAAAAGTAACAGAAGCAATAGAAAAGCTTTAGTAATACAGAAGCAAAGGAACAATTAAACCGAACATGCCATTGTAAACAAAAATTATAAGTTGATTTCCTAGGTGGTACATATGTTATAAGAGGCAGAAACAAAATTGTATGCTTATTTTACCACACAGATGGAGGAAACCCTAGAGATGTTTGTGTTGGTAATTTTCAAAAGAAACACTTTCTTCCTGCTTCCACAACCTCTTCACCTTGTCATCCCTAAATTAACTTAGAAGAAAATTGATTTTATAAGGGTGACTTTCCCTTAGTAATTTACTCCCTGGTTTTGTTGACTTTACGTATAAAGTCCCCCCCCACACACACACAAAGCTATAAATATGCCTAAACTTTGTCTCTTTATTAAGCAGGCTGATAATAATCACGCATTTCTACATATTGCTATTAACAAAATCTTATCTGATATGCCTCCACGAGAGCTACATATGCCACAAATTGCAAAGAATAATATTGGAGATGAAATGACAGGTCAAGTGGAGTGAGTATACAGAGCAATGTGATTTCAAGCCAACCTAGAGTTGAGAAGGGACTGAAAGCCAAGTGTCTCATACACGCCCCCGCCCCTCATATTTTATGACTTCTTCCCTTTAACTCAAACACTTAAGACATGCTGCTTGTTGTTTTCACTTGTACTGTTTGAACACTAATAACACGTAAGAAAAGGACTCTTTTATAAAATCCTCTCCAGTAATTTTGCCTTAGAAGGCAGGGAAATACTCAGCTTTAAACTCTCCGCAGGTGTCACAACCTAAAGAAACAATTCCAGCCGGGCTCTCAGCAAGGGAAACACTTCCATGACAAACTGCATGCGCTCTTAAGAAAATATTCAGACCTGAACACACTGATATGTGAAAAGTCTATACACAGACCCAAAAGTTATATTTTTCTAAATTTGTAATGTTGAAAACAACGAATCCAGCTTACCGATGTGGAACGAGATCAGCACGGAAAAGTCAATTTGCTACAGGTTTGGATCCGCGTGTTTGTAGTCCTTTTCCCCAAAGACCATAATTTCTAGGGCGCCCCAGAGGTGAAATTCTTTCTTCCCGGTCCTCTGAGTTTCTTTGTAAAGGAATCCTCAGCGTTGCAGTGGCGCGGCACCGGGAGCCCTGCTCTGCGTCGCTCAATCAAGCACTATGAAGTGAATGGAAAGTGGCCGGCGCATGGGGCGAGCGCTCGGGTGTCCGATTACAGCGACGCGGCGCGCGGCTCTGGCTGCCCCAGCGCGCCGCCCAGCCGGCTCGCTTCACCCGCCCAGCATACTCGGCCGCATCTCCACCCGCCGCAAGGCCCCACCCAGAGCGCGCCCGCGAGAGGGTGGCAGGGAGCCGCCAGGGCGGGGCCGACCCCAGGACAAGCCGCCCTAGAGATACAGGAATGCGCCGCAGCAGTCTGGGGGACGAACTGAACACCTCTGCTGCTTTCGCGCTCTGCAGTGGAGTGAACAACTTAACAGGGTGTGCTCCAAGGTTTTTGTTTGTTACCGGCTGCTCTTGGAAGGCATTCAAGATTAAGCTTGGCCTTAAATATCAAAGTGCAAAGCAGCTTTTGCAAGAGAAGGATCACTAAATCCTTTTAAGGCAAAGAGATGCGTTTTTAAAAGGGCACGAGTCTCGTTCTTTTCCCGTAGAAAATTTTCTAAAACCGGTCGAGATAAAAACAGCCTCATCGCAGATGTTTATCCTTTTAATGGGTATCGTTTCCTATTGTTTCCTTAATGTCCGAAAGGCAGTAACTCTGTTGACCTCACCACGTTGACTCATAATACAGTACTCTACCTCCACCCTCCCAGATATTACCAAAACATAATTACAAGAAATTATTTCACAGTTTTGTACAGGAAGGCTGTTCTGAACTATGCCAACAGACAGAGGTTTACAAATCTAGGCCTCAGGCGGTGTATTTCAGCACTACTTCCAGGTAAACTTGTTAAACTCTGGAATGACTTTGATGTTTAAGTGAAAATTATTTCTCCGGATCACAATGAGCTACATATTTGAACTTCGGAAGAAATGAGCTTCGACCTCCATAAAATGAGCAGGTACTTGCTTAAAAATCACTGTGGGCTACAGCCCAGCAGATGTCACTATACAGAGGGAACATGGAGTGTAATTTCTCCACCTTGTTCCTCATAATTTTCTTTATGAAGTAAAGCAGATCACTAAATTCTTATAAACTATCATAGAAAACACTTCTGAGAGTGCAAAATCTTTGATGGAGTGGGACAGCTGAACTAAATCTCAGGTAGGAGGAAGTGAAGAAGTGATTAAGACATATCTTTCATGTATCTAAGCGCCACTTGTTATGTCGACATAAGTCATTTCCCTAACTCTTTCTGTATAGCTGAGATATGAAGGGATCATGTCAAATAAGAATGCAAATTTAAGTGTTCAAAAATTATATTCCAGGGCCAATATTATCTTCAAACACAACTGTGTTTGTGAAAGAAATTTCCAATTCAGTGGATGTGTTCTTTAAAAAAAATCTAATGCAGTTAAATTATTTTTTTGTGATAAATAGTGCAATAAAAATGTGAGTAGCTCCTTGACATAAGTTTGTAATAATGAATTTAACCCACAAAACATCTGACAGTATCAAAAAACCAGATGCAAACATGAGTAAGCACTATGCGTGGTTTTCTCTGAAATACTTCTGAAACTGATTAAGACCGAAGTTATACTGACCACTATCATCTTCCTACTGATGCCTGAGTCAGCATTTGTAAATTAGGAAGACAGGGAATAAGTCATTAAGAAAGAAGAATGCTGTGAGCTTTAACAAATTATGTAATTCTTAATTTCAAAATGTGGAGTCATTAGACACTGATTAATCTGTAAATCTATGTAAAGTAGAATATATTTACACATTTATTTTTCAGTTTCAGGGAACTGAGATGAAGAAATGCAAGGTAAAATGCATGTTAAATGGTGTTTTTACAGGGGAGTTTACTACCAAACTCAATTTATAAAAACCCAAAGCATTATCTCAGTCTCTCATATATACTCAAAAGGCTTCAAGAAAGTGTGACAAATAGCTTAGATTTAACTACAGTCTATGAACTTGTGCTGTGATTCCCTCTATCTTTCTTGAATAAACTTCTTTTCTATGCATTTAATTGAATTGTATGCCTAGTACTGAGACACTGAATGCTATTTGCTTAGTACTCAGACATTTACCATTGGCCGCGCCTCAAAATGAGTCATGAAAATATTGATAGGCATTCACCAAGGCAGATTCAAGCACAAGGATGCAATTACTTCTCATGTTTGATCGAAACTTGGGCCATATAGTGAAATTTTAAGAGTGGCACTAAGTTCCCATAGCAAGATTTATCTCTGCTCCCCTTTCTCCAAACTGCTTAGGAGCCTAAAACACCTTGACAGGACTTATATAAGAAACATTGCTGGCCAGTGCTACTTTTCTCCCATGCAGTCTTTGACTATGTCCTTACAGGTGGGAAACAACATAAGCTAATTGTGTAAGCTAATTTGGGAAAGGTGGACACTACATGGATGTACAAGAGTAATGACAATTAAATTTCGAGGCTACTAATTACAAATTTTGCCCTCATCAAAATGTCTTGGGAAAAAATATCCAAGTTAAAATACTAGAATCACCCTCATTGAGATGTTATAGAAATGTTATAGAACCTTGTACACTGAAGTTTCTCTATTGAAGTATAGTGACTTTATTTTTAAATATTTTATATTTTTGGTGGTCCTAAAAAATACTATTTAACTTAAACTCTTGGACTGATTTTGAGTAATGTACTCATCTTTTTTTTTTAATGAGTTGTACAGCTATGAATTCTCTTATTTCAAATTTAAAGAAAATAGATCATTTTCAGATTTTCTCCATCATACAGATGAACTATATAAATAAACTTTACCTTGAGAATCTCAGTCCTTCAGAGATTGAAAATTGTCCTCTTATTAGTTATAATTAGTATTTGTCACAGGAGAAGATAGTTCATGTATATTCTAGTCATTTTGCATATTATATGAACAGCATTCTTAAATGAAGTTACTATTTTACATATGAGAATATTGAAGGTTTGCCCAAAGTCCCATGGATAGTAAATATTGGACTAGAAAGAGAAACTGGGCATGACTGACTCATCATTTCATTTTTTTCAATATGAACCTGAGCAACGGTTACACTTGCTTCTTCTCTTTAATTCTCCTCTCCTCTTTACTTCCTCCTTTTCTCAAATTCCAGATGACAGCCTTTTAAACCTCCTGAACTATATCTTTAGAAAGTTTGTACTTCAAATGGTTATTTACATTGTTCACATCAGCCTTACTTCTCCTTGGTTTACCTTAGTTGGTCTGAGAGCAAGCCGGTCAAACAGGTCTGGTCTAGAAATCTGTTGTGGAATTGCTATCTGCATGGATGATAGGCTTTAGTATTTCCTCTATTAAAATCATTCCTTATTTTTCAATAAGATGAGTGTATCTCTATTTTCATTCTTAACCCATTGCTAATCTATATCCCTGACCCTTGATCTCTTTCTCTTTTGATATGTACTAGACCCTAGGCTTCTCAAATTGTACAGTCCATGGCACTGAACGAAATAAACTGGTGACAGTGGTTTGCACTGGAGAGGGAAACTGGCCAGAAAAAGAATTTTTGTTGTTCTCCCCTTTTTGCCTTTGTAATTTTAAACCAGATGAATGTATAAGCTTTTACAAAATTTGAAATTTAATTCTTCAACATTACTTTAAATACCTTTAAACTTCTCAAACACAATAAAGTGCTGTATTTCCCAACTCAACCAAAATAAGAGCATGTGGCCTCTAATGTCTATGTATTATCGTATTTCAAATGTAAAATTAGAATAGTAAGGAATTTCAGTAGTAGGAGCCTGTTAGTGATTTTATTTTATTCTTTCTATGCACATGACAAAGTTCTAAGAGAGTGTTGTGATCACTCACACTTTCATCACAGGGGTAAAATGTGAACTCTGTTTTGTCCTTATTGGAATATTTCATGGGAAACCTCATGAGGGGAGTAGTATCTGTCTTTGAGATTAACTATCAATATAAATAATTGCAGTTGCAAAGTAAGTGATAGTTACTTAATAATGTTTGTTCATTGAATATATGCACACACACCCACAGTCAGACTTCTTTTAAGGAAGGCAAACTGCTTTGATGGCTCTATTGTATCTAAATCTCTCTTTCTCTTTACCTGACAGTATAAAACCCTTTCCCATATCTCTTCTCACAGGAGAGCTAAGAGAGGCCCATGGAAGTGCCTCTGATTGTCATATGTGTGTAAGGAGGCTCAAAAATAATAACCAGCTGCAGTAATTAATTCAGGACTGTTAATTATGGCTAATTGACTCCCATCTACAGTCCTTCAGCCTGGTCAAAGGCCTTTTCCATGTCATCTTCAGATTTTACTATTTTTCTATTATTCATGGACTTTAAGTGGTTGATTAGAAAGTAGAATATTAAATTGTATAAACAACTTTCACATCCTAACAGAGGCATTCTCGTAATGAAAATCATATGACCAAGTCATCTATACCAGTGATTTCTAGGAGATAGAGAAGACTGTGAAGTAAATTTAAAAAGCATCAACTACAACTTATTATACTTATTTAATTTTAGTCCCGATCCTTAAGGCTTTGAAATTTCAAGTGACATCTAATAACTTTAAAGAAGGATATACAATTTTCATTTTTTAACAAATAAAACACAAGATATGCAGCTCGGGGTACATTTCAGTGAAATATTTTTCCTTTGATGGATTGTGTCTGTTGCAATGGGCTCACTGAATTTTAGATGAGAAGTGTACCAGAGGGGAGTATGATTTAAAAGAGAATATGTTATTTAATAGATATTTTACAAAGAGTATTTCTTTTAATATCCATAGCAGTCCTAAAAGGAAGGTATAAGTATTGACATTATGCAAACAGGAAAGCCAGTGCAAAAATTTGAGTCACCTTCTCCTACCTGGGCCCTAATCCCTAGGCAATGAATTCAGATCTGCCTGTGCCCGAGTCCACACACTTCCCACTTTCTACTACCGTTGGTACATTAGTCCAGTCCAGTAAGTAGGAAATGGCAGTGGAGACCTTTACCTTTCCTCCTAGGCTATTTAGGTCCTGAAGAAGGTTTTCTGTTTTTGTTGGATACTAAACACCATC